ACTTTGGGATCCGATTCAAACCCCCCCCCCATGGCCTGGGCAGTTGTCAGTGAGCTGGGATGGGGTGTGCTTCACCCACCCCCCAAACCAGCTGTCAGCACAGGCTGCAGGGACACCAGAGGGGTAAAAATAGGCAGAGCTAATCCTCCTCCCCCAACCCACTGCAAAGTCTTCCTCCTCCCAGCACCTCCTGCCTCCCCGTGAGCCTCCTCTGAGCAGGCAGGGTCCTTCTCCTTGCTGCTGGAGTAAATCCTGCTCATTTGGAGGGTCCACACTGTGCCTGATCACACCAACGGGCTGGTTCTGCCTACCCACGGTGACTCTGGGCTGGCAGAGGCAGTTTGGGCCCAAAGGGATCTGTAAATCTGCAAACCAAAGAGACTGATTTTCAAGTTACCCTTCTAAATAAGTCCCACACATTCCAGAAGAGACTCGGGCCAAAATAATCATGTTGAAAATCTCTGTTCCTCCTTCCAGCACCAGCCCTGTCCCCTCTGTCGGGCAGCTGCAGGGCTGTAATTTTCATTTTTTTTGTTTTGCAGGTAAAAGATGAAAAAAACATACAGGAAACGTTCGACCTGAGCGATTATGAGAAGTGTGAAGAGCTCAGGAAGTCCAAAAGCAGAAGCAAAAAGAACCACAGCAAATTTACCCTCGCCCACTCCAGGCAGCCTGGAAACACGGTAGGGTTTGAAGGGTCACGGGAGAAACTTCTTTGGGGGGAGGGTGGCCAAGCCTGGAGCAGCTGCCCAGAGAGGCTGTGGAGTCTCCAAACTGGAGAGATCCCAAACTGGGCTGGGCACCACCCTGGGTGAGCTGCTGGAGCAGGGGGGTGGGATGAGGTGGTGCCCAGAGGTCCCTCCCAACCCCACCGTGCTGAGATTCTGTGTGATTTAGAAGGTGAGACCAGAAAGCCTGAGCTGTGTAGGAGTCCAGATCTTATCTGGTGGTTTAAAATATATCTGAACACCCATTTACCACATCAGGACCGATAGCAACAGAGAGAGGTGGGGAGGGAAGCAGAGCTGCTGCTGGGTGCTGGTAAATATGACCCAGCACCTACCTCTGGATCTATTTCCCTGAGAGTCTCCTGACTTTGGGAAAGGGCTTGGAGGGATAGGATGAGGGGTAAGGGGTTCAAACTGGAAGAGGGGAGATTCAGATTAGAAATCTGGAAGAAGTTCTTCAGCCTGAGGGTGGTGAGACACTGGAAGAGGTTGCCAAGGGGAGCTGTGAAGCCACCA